AATAAAAATCAGTGATCTGATACAAGATCTCATTTGTCTAAAATACATTGTGAATTCTTGATTAATTGATTGATTAATTGATTCTAGGTTAAATGAATTGTTCTAAGTCAAAAGCTAAAATTACGATTTACTAGACTAACGAAAAGGGTCTTCTTCTGTACTTGCTACAGAAAACACTTACAATGAAGTTTAAGAAACTGAGAAATCAAAAATATAAGCAACTTTTCACAGAAAACAGGAGCCAAAAGTATTGGAACATGCACTCTCAAATATTGTAACGGTTTTTCGGAAGTCACTGTGGCCACAGTTGTCTGTAGATTGACCTTCACCTCTTATCCCCCTAGCTGTCACGGTTTTTGTATCTATTTCCTGGCTGATATTCTTCATCAGACAGTGATTCAGTAAGTGATACTGAAGTGTTTGTTCATCAAATGTCACCATCTGGCAAAAAGTGAAGGAAACGAGGGAAGGGAGAAAAATAATAATTCATTTGCACAAATGCAGATTTTTGAGAGAAATTGGAAATATTATGCAAAGATCACACACTACAGTGTGTAATGTAATTGATAAGTTCGGACAATATTATATTCGAAAAATATTATGTCCGGAAAACAGTCATGAACAACACAGGAGTGGGTGGCCACAGTTACTGAATGATTATGACAAGAAAAATTCTTCACGACTTTAAGTATAATAAAGTAAATTCAAAAATTAACCATAACTTGCTCTATAACTTGCTTGTGGAATAGATGTTCCTCCAATTACAGCCTGCAAAATGCTAAGAAACAGTGGGTAGCATGGCCCTGTGGCACATAGGAAATTCTGTCTCAATGATATTAACAGAAAAAAATCTGGTAGAATTTACTAGAAAATACAGAAAGTTGCTACGCAAAGTAAAACAAATTTCTTTTTAACTGAAGAAAGTAAATTTAACTTTTTTGGCATGTACGGGAGATGTATGGTATGGAGAAAGGAAAACCTGCATTTTTGGAAGAAAACGTCCAGCCCACAATGAAACATGAAGGTCAGTATGTACTTGTCTGGTGCTGTACGAGACCTTCTGGAGTGGGGAATCTTCGTTTTCTAAATGGTACAATGGACCATGCAATGTACATCAATATTTTGAAAAGTGAACTACACACAAATACTGAAAAAATGGGCCTCAAGGACAATTTCACTTTTCTGCAGGACATTTATCTAAAGCACAGAGCTTGAACATAAGAATGTGGATTCTTTTTAATACACCATGATTTCTGGAAATGCCAACACCATCTGAAGACATTAATTTGAATATTTACAAGATATTTTGGAAAAAAAATTAGGAAAAGTCTCATTTGTATTACAAAATATCTTACGCACACACTTCAGGAAGAATTTGACAATACCTCCCCACCTGCGACAGCAAAGATAATAGAATCACTGCCAAGATGTCTCGAAACCATCATAAATGCAAAAGGACATTCGAGCAAATATTAATTTGTAACAGTTTCAATTTTATTTAATTTTTAACCTCAATCATGTGGCTGTTCTAATACTTGGCTACCATTTTGTGAACCAATTTTTTTTCCTCTTTGTTTTAAACTTTCCAGTAAGTTATTTGAAGTATTTCTTTGATAATATCAATTATAAAATATACACTGTTTTCAATGTGTCCCAAAATTTTTGATTTGTGTTTTACTCCTGAAATTTATTCATTTTTTGAAATTTCCAAACTGTTTCAATACTTTTACACTCACTGAACACCCTCAAACTTGTTACAAATATTACCTCAGATAACAAGGTATTCTGAACCAAAAGACCTTTCAAAGAAAAATTTGAAATTTTTTAAAAACCAAAATAAATAGAAAATATAAATTTAAAATCTTTATATACGTAATCACGGGCAATATTTTTATCTTTTAATTGATCCAAAACACACACTGCTAAATCTAACTAATTAAATAAATTAATAAATAAACCCAGGAGTGTTTTTGGCCATGTTTGAACAACCACCGCATTTATTCCTTTCATTGATTCTCAAATTCAGTTGCAGGTGCAGTTTGCAGTCATGTAAGGCAACAGTGAATGATTGAATTAGTTGTTCACTATCCCTCCCACACACTTAAGTATAAGTGAAAGTAAAAGCTTTTAATTAGAAAAAGGTTTTCTGAGTAAGAAACATTTTTGAAGATGCAGAAATCTATTTAAAAAAATAATTATACTGTGACAAAATTACAGCCAGAGGCATTTACACAACTTTACAATCACTGCAAAAAAATTAACATTAGAGACAGACTTTCATCACACAAGATTCAATATAAAAAAAATGTTTTCTTGAAGCCTGCCCATTTGAATAGAAAGCAAAGATTTGTTAGTGCATCTCTCACAAGATTGTATGTCCATTCACAGAAATATTAATTTTATACGTTTGTAAAGATCAGCATAAAAACTCCCAAAACACAAATCAGGATAGAAATTAAGTTTAAGAGTGGAGAAAAAAAAAGTATTGAAATAGGTCAAAGAGAATCCCCAATACACAAACATCGACTTGAAATAGAAAGAAAGATGAAATTTGAACAAATGAAGAGTACGTAAATGATATATTTCATCAAAGTTTAAAAAATTGCCAATTTCAATGCACGATTAATGGTAGGAGAATTCAAGAAAACCTTCAATAACAAATTTAGAGAAAAAAGCAATATGAAATTATACAACAGGAATAATTGAAAAGAAAATAACTGGAGGCACAATTATTATCTTTATGTTTAGCATAAAGAATAAATTGGTCAAAAAGCAATTCTTTCTCTACTTGCATTTACTGTACGCGCTTCAGTTGATATTTTTCTTTCTGAGATATAAAATCCAATTTCTGCTCAAAAACAAATGATATGAGCATAAAATCAAATTATATAACTAACAATGACACTAAATTTTGAAAATTCATTCTTTACATACCTTTCGCAAAATCTTGATGCGGTATGGATCAATTTTAGCGACACCAATGGATAGAGGTTCAGGTGTAAATCGCAGTCTACGGATTCGAACAGCAGCTCTCACACAAAGAATTCCAAATTGGAACATTCTGCGAGCGTCGAATGCACGACCTTTCATCTCCTGTTTAACAATTGAGAGAAATCATTTTAATTTACAAGAAAATTCAGGTTACCCAGAAAATGTAGAGGAAAAAATCATTTATATTGTGTATTTTTTATGTCCCATACTTAAATATTGATAAGAGTGAGTACTATTGGTAATGTTCCTTCACAATTAAAGCATCGGTTTACAAGGAATAAACTGCTATTTAGTTCAGAACAACATAGTAAGCTATTGATGGGTCATGAATAATTAATAACAACAATATTGAACAATATTGAACTTTTCAACTTCATATTAAATATTAAATTTTGGTAGATATAAAAAAGAGAAGAGTGAGGGAGAGAAGGTAGAGAAAGATGAAACAGGAGAAGGAGATAGAGAGGAAGGAGTGGACTAAAAATGATGATAAAAAAAATCTTTGAAAATGTATTATATATAACATCAGCGTCAGAATAACAATGTAATGAAAGGGAAAGGAGAATGGGAAGAGAGCATAAAGAACAGCGAGAGAAGGTATGGTGAAGAGAGGCGGTGGAGAGAGAGAAAATAGTGATGAGAGAAGAGAGCAAGAAAACTGAAAAGAAGGGAGAGAAGAGGTATTGGAAAGATCAAAGAGCTTAGAGAGAGAGAGAGAGAGAGACAGAGAGAGAAAATAGAATGGAGAGAACTCAAGAGAAAGCAGAGGGAAAAGATAGTGGAGACAGCAGATAGAGGAGAGAGTGAACAGAGGAGAGCGGAGAAAGGGAAGAGAGGAAAGAGCGGATAGAGAAGGGGGAGTGTGGAAAAAGGAGAAGGGGGAGAGAGGGGAAAGAGTGGAGAAAGGGGAGAGGAAATAGTGTATAAGGGAGAAAGAAAAAGGAAACAACAGAGGAAAGAACAGATAAAGAATAGGAGAGTGAGCAGAGGAAAGAAAGCCGATGGAGGAGAGAGCAGAGGAAAGGCAGTGGAAAGATCAGAGGGGGAATAGAGAGGAGAGCAGAGAGGAAGGAGAGGAGAGTGTGGATACAAAGGAGAAAGAGTGAATAGAGGGGAAAAGAGCAGAAAGAGACAAGATAAAGGGTGGAGCGGAGCGGGGAGAGAGCGGAGCGGGGAGAGAGCGGAGCGGGGAGAGAGCGGAGCGGGGAGAGAGCGCGGAGGCGGGGGAGAGCTAAGAGCGGGGAGAGAGCGGAGCGGCGGGGAGAGCGGAGGCGGGGGGAGAGCGGAGCGGGGAGAGGCGGAGCGGGAGTGAGCGGAGTCGGGGAGAGAGCGGAGCGGGGAGAGAGCGGAGCGGGGAGAGAGCGAGGCGGGGAGGAGCTGGAGCGGGGAGAGAGCGGAGCGGGGGGAGAGCGAAGCGGGGGGAAGAGCGGAGCGGGGAGAGAGCGGGGGGGAGAGAGCCGGAGCGGGGATGAGAGCGGCGGGGAGAGAGCGGAGCGGGGGGAGAGCGGGAGCGGGGGGAGAGCGGAAGCGGGGTGGAGGGGGCGAGAGCGGACGAGGAGAGGGGGGAGAGCGGAGGCCGGAGAGGGGGGAGAGGGGAGCGAGGATGAGGGGAGAGAGCGGAGGCGGGGGGAGAAAGCGAGGCGAGGAGAGGGGAGAGCGGAATCGCGGGGAGTAGCGGAAGCGAGGAGAGGGGGAGAGCGGAGCGAGGAGAGGGGGGAGAGCGGAGCGGAGGAGAGGGGGGGAGAGCGGAGCGGGGAGAAGAGCGGAGCGGGGAGAGAGGCGGAGCGAGGAGAGCGGAGCGGGGAGAGAGCGGAGCGGAGGAGAGGGGGAGCGGGGAGAGAGCGGGAGGCGAGTGAGAGGGCGGAGCGTGGCGAGAGCGAGGAAAGGGATCGTGGACAATCAGATAGAGAAAAAAGGGGGTAGAAAGGGGGAGAGCAGAGAGCTGATAGTAGGAACGCGAAAGGGCCAGAACGGAGAGAGAGAGCAGAGAGGAAGGAAAGGGCAGAATCTGGAGAGAGAGAGCAGAGAGGAGGAAAGGGCACAGAAGGAGAGAGAGAGCAGAGGAGGAAGGAAAGGGCACAGAACGGAGAGAGAGAGCAGAAAGGAAGGAAAGGGCACAGAACGGAGAGAAGGAGAGCCGGAGGAAGGAAAGGGAAGAAACGGAGAGAGAGAGCAGAGAGGAAGGAAAGGGCACAGAACGGAGAGAGAGAGCAGAGAGGAAGAAAGGGCACAGATATCGGAGAGAGAGAGCAGAGGGAGGAATAGGGCAAGAACGGAGAGAGAGAGCAGAGAGGAAGGAAAGGGCCACAGACGGAGAGAGAGAGCAGAGAGGCAGGAAAGGGCACAGCACCGGAGAGAGAGAGCAGAGAAGGAAGGAAAGGGCACAGAACGGAGAGAGAGAGGCAGAGTAAAGGAAGGCGATAGGAGATGCGGTACAGCGAGAGTACAAAGACAAGGGGAAAGAGGGACTGAGAGGCCAGAGAAAGAGGGAGAGAGCGGCGGAGAGAGGGAGAGAGAGGGGGAGAGAGGGAGAGAGAGGGGAGAGAAAGGGAGAGAGGGGAGAGAGGGGAGAGATGGTGGAGAGAGGGGAGAGAGGGAGAGGAAGGGAGAGAGGGAGAGAGCAGGGAGAGAGGGAGAAGCGAGGGGACAGGGGGGAGAGAGGGAGAGGGGGAGGGAGAGGGGGAGGGAGTAGAGGGGGGAGGAGGGGGAGAAGGGAAAGAGCGGGGAGCGAGAGGAGAGTGAGAGAGGGGGAGAAGTGAGGAGAGGGGGAGAGTGAGTAGAGGGGGAGAGTGAGAGAGGGGGGAAAGAGTGAGGAGAGAGGTGGAGAGGGGGAAAGAGGAGGAGAGAGGGGGAAGGGGGAAAGAGGAGGAGAGAGGGGGAGAGGGGAAAGAGGAGGAGAGAGGTGGTGAGAGGGGGAAAGGAGGAGGAGAGGGGGGAGGGGGAAAGAGGGAGGAGAGAGGTGGGAGAAGGGGGGAAAGAGGAGGAGGAGAGGGGGGAAAGGGGGAAAAGAGGAGAGAAAGGGGGAGGAAGGGGGGAAAAGAGGAGTAGAGAGGGGAGAGGGGGGAAGAGGAGGGAGGAGAGGGCATTG